GGGGGGGGGGGGGGGGGGGGGGGGGGGGTAACTAGAGTTGCTAGCCACCACCACCCTTTGTATTGTTTAAAAAACATTTATGTCACATTTTTGAAAATTTGTTATTTAATGTTTACTTAATAATTAATTACAAGAGTAATTAAAATTCGTGAGCTGACTAACTAATATCTATAAAGCAGATTGGGACATTAAGACATTTGATTGGATAATACCTCGGATCAATAAGTATACCTGTAACATAATGCTGAATTTCCTCTGGCGTCTCTCTCAGCTGATAGATTATAAATTTAGACTCAAGTGAATCTCACAAGCACTCAATATAATATTTTTACATTGTACATCTACAGGGCAAACGGTTCTTCTTTCAAGTAACTTACACCATTGTAAGTTGATCACATATTTACTATGTATGTATGTACTTTTGTTTTATTATACTTTACATTTCACTTACCTCTCTGGTTTAAATAGAATTACTGATATTTTATTTTTCATTATTCATTATGTCTAGCGGAACACCAGGTAAGCGTCTAAAGCTACAGTGTTTCTCTTATTTTCATTTTAGGCAAAGTAGTACTCCAAAATTTGATGAAGTATGCTGTTAAAGCAAATCACCAGAGACAACTACAACACAGTCTTCTGAAGCAATTACTTCTATTTTACAAATAAAAGACACCATTTCAATAACAGATATTGCATCTGTACTTGACGAAAACGTCTCAACAGAGATGAATGACTCAGCGAAAGTGGAATTTATGGAATGTTGCTGGAAACCTCCCCAAGTTAGAAATTTGAAAATAAAACGTTCAAAATAGAATAAAAATGTAAGACAATTGCTTTTCAATGGACATGGCTTCATGACTATAGGTGGCTTACTTAAAGCAATCACCCTAGTTACAAAGGTTGATGGTGGCTCTCTTGTTTTCTCTTTTTATAAAAAATGGAGAAGCAAACCGTAGGTGATTTCGTGAAAACCGCATTCAATAAATCCAAAGAGTTCCTGAGTCATGAATCAAAGACCTACCACCAAGAAAGCATTCAACGTGCATCCTACAATAAATCACAAGTGTGCGATCCTAGACTTCGAATCGATTCAATTATTAATTCAATTACTGCTGACAATGTAAAAAGTAATAAACAAATTCTTCCAACTATAGTCGATGCCGTTTTATGTTGTGCAAGACAGCATATAGGTTTACTAAGGTATCGCGATGACAAGATCGAATACGCAGAGGTCCCTGATCACATTGAAGATAATTTTATTGCTCTAATTCATCTTATGTCCAAGCAGAACCCAATTTTGTAAGAACACCTCCTTTCTGGTCCAATAAGACAATACAAAACAAAATAATACAAATAGTTGCAGATCCATTTCATTACCATTTTTGGATGTGCCTCCGTACATTTCCTCCCTACGCATTAATAGCGGATGAAACCTCTTCCAATTGGCGTGAACTTCTTTCAGTTTGTCTGCGAATTTTGGATGTAACTGGGCAGCAATAAAACTAAATAAAACATGAAGTATTTCTCGACTTAGTTGACCTTGAGTGAATAACAGGATAAACGATTACATCAACAATTCGTGGCACTCTTCAGAATCAACATGTTAAAACAGAAGACTACAAAGGCCAGGCTTGTGACACAATGAGTTCCGACAAAAAAAAGGAGTTGAAGCATACATTAAGAAATTTGCACCAGATGCTGATTACCAAGGATGTGTACTCCACTCTATAAGCCTAGCAGTATGTCGTGGTTGTGCTATACCTTCCATTCAGAATATGATGGATTATTACCAAGGATGTGTACTCCACTCTATAAACCTAGCAGTATGTCGTGGTTGTGCTATACCTTCCATTCGGAATATGGTGGATTATTACCAAGGATGTGTACTCCACTCTATAAACCTAGCAGTATGTCGTGGTTGTGCTATACCTTCCATTCAGAATATGGTGGATTATTACCAAGGATGTGTACTCCACTCTATAAACCTAGCAGTATGTCGTGGTTGTGCTATACCTTCATATTCTGAATATGATGGATTATTACCAAGGATGTGTACTCCACTCTATAAACCTAGCAGTATGTCGTGGTTGTGCTATACCTTCCATTCGGAATATGGTGGATTATTACCAAGGATGTTTACTCCACTCTATAAGCCTAGCAGTATGTCGTGGTTGTGCTATACCTTCCATTCGGAATATGGTGGATTATTGTCTACGGTTATCTTCATTCTTTGACAATTCACCCAAACGCCAAGAGCTCTTTCAAAATGTCATTGTTGCTCTTGCTCCTGGTATTAAGAAAACTTTGAAAACCGATATGGTTAGAGCTACACCTCACTTTCGACACAATTGACGAGCTTTATGTCTATATTGTATGAACACTCGATGAAATTTGCCAACCCTCTGGAGACCCAAATATTTACACAGAAGCAGAGAGCTGGAGTTGGGATTCAGAAGTAAGGCTAATGGGTTACATTTACTAATTTTGAGCATATCGTCACATTTATAATTGCAAAGAAAGATTAGAACCAATGTGTCCAACTGTGTCGAATCTTCAAGGAAACTAATTGAAGCTTATTTGGTTTTTCAAAAAGTAGATCAGATGATTTCTTTTTATGCAACTCTTCGTGCATCTGCTGATTATTGGTTTTCCACTGTTTACGCCAAAGCCAAAGAATTAGCACGATCTGTAGATTCTGAATCAAATGTAACAGGATTATATGTGGATGTCAGACGCATCGCTCCAATAGCCCTGCAAAAAATACATCCAACTACTACAAACACAACATAGCAATTCCTTTTCTAGCTATAATCTCTGAAGAATTGAGGTCACGCTTTAAAGAAAAGATGTGAGTGCACTTCGAGCTGTGCTCATTCATGCCAGATGTCATCATAAAGAAGAACTATGATAAACTTCAAGCATTGGTAAATCTATTGCTCAAAAAATGACTTTTTCTTCCACGTTCAACTGCCTTCAACAGTGAGTTACTTAGATGGCAGCACCTTTGTAAGAATAATAAAAACAGCAAAGAATCTGTGACGCAACTAATTTGCCAATCTGCTGATGAAATATTCTTCCCAAATGTCAGAGAATTACTTTGTATTTTAGCAATTTTGTCAGTTGGTAGTTGTGAGGCTGAACGTTCATTCTCTTATGTTCGTCGCATTCATACATGGCTTCTGATGGGCTATCTGATTTATAAATGATAGTCATGCATTGTAATACTGTTACTTTGTCAACAGGTGAAATCATACAACGATTTATTTCACTGCATCCTCGTCAAATGCAGGCGCAAACCCCTTTTTTAACTGTTAGAATAAATTATTCCTTGTTTACACATACATACTGTCATAAACTATCATAGTTATGTTTTGTTTTCTGCCCATGTACTTGCGTATAGTTGTACACACTTAATAAATTAATGTGTATTTATCCAATGCTTAATCGTAATATTTGAATATGTTTAATTTGTTTATGTATTTTAAATAATTAATTCATTTTCTGT